GGGGGGGGCGTCTATCAGCAACAGTTAACTACCGCATAGCGGCCAGGTATTTGCCGGCTCCGGACAAGGCAGTTGACACATCGAGCACGTTGACACACCGGCGGATGGGGTGGGGGGTATCCATATGGTGTCGTCGATGAAATATAAATATACCGACCAGAAGCAACACCAGATCCTTGTGACTGTGCTGCTTACGCTCGGGCGTAGACAACAAAGGTGGTACCGTAAGCCGTCGCGGTCTGAAGGATGTCTGCCTAAATCAGCTCGAACATTCAACGCGGAGAGGGTCATGCCCCAACTCCAGCAAACGGACGCCAATGAAAGCGAATCACAAGTGGTGACTTTTGCAAGACCAAAACGTGCAAAAGAACAACAAACTCAAAGCGCAATCCTTGTGCTGCTGCTGCGGGCACATGCCCGTACGCGGGGACACCAAAGCACGACACACACAACAACAACGCCTACGGTATTATCACCTATCTAGGGGCAAAGACGTGGAGTAGATGAGCGGCCGGGCGTAGTTGACCAAGAAGTCTTTGAGCGTGGCGCTGCCGACTACCACCGCGCCGTGAGCGCCGAAGGCCTTCCCGAACGAGTGCATCCCGGCCAGAAGCGCGGGGTGCGCCTCGAGGTTCAGCGCCGACACAAGCCCTCGCCCCTGTTCGCCGAAGACTCCGGTGCTACGGCCGACCGGTAGGGTTGTTTTATCGCCGCCGCCGATGTCGTTCACCGCCAGGTCGGGGGAGGGTACGGTCATATGCCAAGCAGAAACAGACCAAGGAGGAAGGTTAACCTAAAGCTTACCGAAGACGAGAAGCACACAACAACGACCACGCCTCGGACTACGGATTGCCTTTCTACGCAAAACCAAGCCGGCCGGTAGTTTACGGGTATCGCCGCCCTCGGTGATGTTTACCGTCAGGTCGGGGGGTGCACGGCCATATACCAAACATATATGTACAGACGACGCGGGAAGGATAAGACAGAAGTTTACGGAAGCCGAGAAGCACACAACAACGAGCACGCCTCGGACTACGGATTGCCTTTCTACAGCACCAAACCGCCCATACCGCACGCCAAGCTCCACCGCACGTACCCAAGGTTAGGGCGGCAGCGTACATATTACCCTCCCTGACATGCGTACCCGTGAGCTTCGTCAACGATGACCAACGCCCCGTGCGCAGCAGCGACGCCTAGAATCTCTCTCAGCGGCGCCAGGTCCCCGTCCATGGAGTACACGCTTTCCACTGCCACGAAAATGTTGGCCGGCGCCGAGCCGGGTCCCCTAGAGCGGAGGCCCTCCAGAGTAGTCTCCAGGTGTTGGAAGTCGTTGTGCCGGAACAGCACGGTCTCTTTCTGTCTCCCGAGCCGGCAGCCCATCTTTTTTTTTCGAGAGAGAGAGAGAAACACGTCCGTCGATTGGTCGCTGTTGAGGGAAGAGGAGGGTTAGGAAGACTTGAGGCGCTGGGTTATCTGCAAAAAACAAAAAAACGATGACAAGATCCTCCTCCCCAGCGTACATCTTTCATGCATGTTGCCACTGTTTCGTGCCACAAGCAGCTACGCCGCTCTGAGCGCGCTCGATCAACTTAGCGAAATAGGCGGAGGATACACACACAGCAGTATATACGACTCATCATTCCGCCCTACTACTGCAGCAAGTTGGAAGACACACGACCCAGAACACGACCAAGAAATCCAAAAAAGCAAGACATGTATGCTGGGGAAGCGGACGAAAACGCACCCTGACAGAGTTGTGGACAAGCTCGTCGCAGACCACAACATCGCCGGGCTGCGGGAGGCACGACATGAGCCCCAAGTTCGCGTCGTACCCGGAGTTGAAGAGCAAGGCCGCCGGCCGGCCGTGGAAGCGAGCGATCCACCCTTCCAGCTCCTCGGCGTACCGGGAGTTGCCCGACAGCAGCCTAGACCCTCCCGACCCGATGATGGGAAAGCTGTCCCCATTGCCGCAGCCGCTGCTTGTGGTGCTGTCCCCATTGTTGCTGCTGTTGCCGCTGTTTGGGGTGCTGTCCCCAATGCTGCTACCGTTTGTGTTGCTGCTGCCGTCCGTACCGTGGGCTGGGCCGCCGGGACAAGCGTCGATGTCGGTCCCTGTCCAGGCAGGTCGCTGGCGTGTTCTCCGGCGCTCCGCAGTTTCCTACTGGACGAGTTTTTTATGTGCGTTCGTTCGTTTTGCAAGGTCACACGCGCGCGCAAGAGGCTTCTTGTTGTCTCGTCTGTTCTAGGGTTTCATGCCTAATCTCATGCATTGCGGAACAGGAGCAGGTGTTGTAAGTCAAACTTGTGTAAGCATGTGCACATTTTAATACAGCTACACGTATACATTTTTCCGTTTCGGCCAGAACCGCTTCATTCTCCATTTCTGTGTGGACCGCTCACAGGCCAGCATTCCGATTTTTTCACATCTCACAGGCCGCCATTTATCCGATCCATTTCACTTGGATTTAGATTGATTTACTTCCGGGGTATATTTCCGCGATTACCCCGCTCGATCCTCCGGTTCTCCGCGCATTTGGATTTTCTGCAGCTAGGCTTTGCGCAGCTCTCTCTTCTCGTTCCCCCCGAACACACCACGCGCTCCACAGCCCACCCACTTCAACCGCTCTCGTTCCACACAACTTTTTTTTGCTTTTGCGGTACATGTATGGTATTTACTTTTTATTGCCATCTTTGTTGTTGTTATTGACTCCTGCCTGTCTTGGTTGCCTGTTGTGCGTTTATGTTTTGTCCTTCGGCGACCAAACACGGAAACGAAACCTTCACCGGATGGACCACTTGACAAACAAGAGAAAGAAACGGACACACCAATAGATCCTAGCGCTGGAAAAGGCTTCGATA